GTAGTTTTGATTGATTCCAGGCACAGGGAAATGGACCTTTCCTTCAGTGTCTAAAGATCCCCTCTCTCTACCCCATAGATGTTCCCCATTTAAATGGCTACTTGTTCCAATACTAAAGCACAGAACAAATGGAGCTGAAATGCTTCAAGAAGCAAGGTCCCATTTGGGTCAGGGCAGTGGTGTACTGATAAATGTTTAATAACTGGCTCTCTGGAAAATAAAAAATGTAGACATGGTACACTGTTAAGTTTAATATAAATGATTAATTATTTCTTCCTTCTCTTTCTTAAGTCTATAAAATAAAAAACTTTAATAACTCAAACCCTGATTTGTAGAATTTGCTGATTTCCTAGGTGTAAAGTCTCATCTGAATAGCTGGTTGGAGTTGGTAGCCTTACACGGCTGGGTCAGGGTAAATTGTTCCCAAAAGGAAGCACCAAGTATTTTGGACAGCCCTCCCCACCCCTCTACTAATTTTTGCCCCCAACTATCTTCTTAATCCATTGCCTAAAGCCCTGAAGTTTTCAGTAGTGTCTCAACTACTCCAGTCATCCTGGAGATGCTTAGGTGAGGCTAGAGAAAATGAGCTTACATACCAGCACTTTTATTCAATTTTAAGAGAAAGTGGTTATTTTATATCTACCTAAGAAATGGTCCTGGAGAATTTCTGATTCCATTTTAAAAAATGAGAAAACTGAGAGGAAATAAAATAGAATTTTCAATAATAAGTCCCAATTTGTGTAAATAATATGAGCCTCTCATAATAATAAGCCTCTTATGAAAACTTGGAGATAGGTAACAATGTAGAAAGTTTGACTACAAAACAAGAAATACATGAAACATGGCAATAAGGAAGCTTAACAAAATTCCTGGTTTGCTTTTAGCTCATTTAAGAAGGGCTTCTTTTTATTCTAATGTAAGGGGGGAAATGCCTTCATTAGGTATAAACACTTTTAAAAAAATTTGTCAAAGGATCAGAACTGACTGTGAATAGGACCTGTATACATTCCTCAATCAATCTATTGTTTCATTATTCACATTTTTCCAATTAATTAAATTTTGCCTCAACCAGAAACTGATCAGAAACTAGACATCCACATCCACATCCACATCCACATCTATATCCATATCCATATACATGTAGGTGGAGAATCTAGCCTCTGCCTAGGTGTTGGGAAATTTTCCTAACTGGGTGTTCTCGATAATTGTGATTGAACTCAGAACTTTTCATCTAAAGTAAACCTTCTAGAACCAAAGAAGAAGAAACCAAGTGGATCTTAGGATTCATTAAATTCTCTTCCTCAGACTTAAAATGAGAATATGTTTTCTGACTCTCTTTGATTTAGACTGGGGTCATCAGCTTCCACAGAGTGGGATGAAGATATTTCTATTACCAGGCCACTGGGTTGAAAATTTGGGGGATGACCATAACTTTTTTTTAAAGAATAAGTTACTTCTGCTACTCTGAGTTCAGAGAGAGGCAGTACACCAGTCACTGGACAAGGAAGCCAGTCATTTCCTTAAAAAAAAGTTTTATTAAGGCCTTTTTAAAAAAAAATTACATGACATTCCATCACAGGCATTTCCAAATATAGGTGTTCCATTCCTCTCCTTACCCCCTCAACCTTGCCCTGCATCAGACCCCCTCTGTTTTAAATTGCTTCTGGTTCATGTTTAACTGGTCTGTTCCTCAGGTCTACTTTTCTATTTTTTTAACCAGAACCAAATAGTTTTGATGATTACTACTTTATAATATAATTGTAAATCTGGTAACACTTCATTCCTACTTTTTCCACTATCTCCCTTGAGATCCTAGACCTTTTGTTCCTCCAATTGAATTTTATTATTAGTCTGTCTAGTCCTATAAATTATCCCCATGGTAATTTGTTTTGTATAATATTAAATCTGTAGGTTAACTTCGTAATATCATCATTTTAAAAATTACATTGATACAGCCCAAATCATGGCACTGAATGCTATATGTCTCCAATTAATGAAGCCTTCTTTTATTTCTGCAAAGACTCTTTTGTAGTTATATTTATATAAATTCAGCATGTGTTTTGGTAGATTAACTCACAAATTTTATGCATTTTGTAGTTATTTAGAATGGAATTTCTTATTATATCCTCCTGTTTTTTGTTAGTACTACGTAGAAATGCTGATGATTTTTGTGCATTTATTTTGTATCTTGGTACTTTACTGGAGCTCTTAATCATCTCCATTAGATTCTTCTTCAATTCGCTGGGGTTTTCTAAGTAAAACATCATGACATCTGGAAAAAGGGATAATTTTTTTCTCCTATTTGGGGATGCTTATTTATTTACTCTCACTATCATATTATTGATTCTAGCTAGAATTTTTAGAACTATATCAAATAATAATTGGGAGAAGGGAAGTTTTTAATATTCCTGTTAGTACTATGAAAGCTTTCACTATTTCTCTATTACAATTAATACTAGCTCTTGGTTTAACACATAGACATAGACACACAGACACACATACAATATGCTTTTGATCATATCAAAGAAGAATTCTTCCATTTAAAAAAATATCCAAACTACTTTTATGAGAAAACATGTGGGAGCAGGTAGGTGTGCCATTGGATAGAGCATGGGTCCTACAGTCAGGAGGAACTGAGTTCAACCAGATACTTACTAGCTGTGTGACCCTGGGCAAGTGAATTAACCCCCATTGTATGTGTGTGTGTGTGTGTGTGTGTGTGTGTGTGTGAGAGAGAGAGAGAGAGAGAGAGAGAGAGAGAGAGAGAGAGAGAGA